AGTTAATTTGATACTAATATCGATATATTTTTGTCAAATTTTTATGATATCGTCAAACATATATTTTATTCAAAAATAAAAACATCATCGATTTCTCAAAATCACATAAAGCCATATTATAACATCGACTGAGATAAAGAATAAAATGAAATATTAAAAACACGATGTATCTTGCTGCATTGCGCGAGTACGCTTCTACTATACTAGAAAGGTACTCGTGCAATGCAACAGGATACATATTGATGTTAATGTTTCGTTTTATTCTTATCTCTATTGATGCCAGAATACGATTTTATGTGGTTTTAAGAAAACGATAATGTTTTTATTTTTTAAATAAAATATAGACTTGAAGATATCATAAAAATTTGAAAAAATAACATAATATAGTTTTTGGTTTAATAATATAACTTTTTAAATTTAATAAGGAAATAATTTATTTTTGGTATAATAATATAATTTTTTACAAAAATATAACTAAGTATTCTGTTAGAACTCAATGATTATCTTAATTATATTTTAGATTTTTTTATAAATTAAAATGAGATGTTTATCATGTATTTAATTATATTTATCTGCAGTTAATTACACGAATTCAAACATAAAATTTTAATAAATTGTAGTTACGCACAATCTACTTATAATATTATATTTTAAATAATTTTACCGAAAATCAAATTTCAACATTAGTCTAATAGACTCGTGTGGAGTTGGTTTAACCCCCTAGCACCATTAAGCTTATCACATACCCAACACGAGTATGGAAAAAAGCCACTACCATATATTTTGGGTTGAAAACAAATATTAATTTTTTAACACGTCATATTATTATTATTGGAAGAATACTCGTACAATGTAGCGAGATACATATTCATTTTAATATTCTATTTTTTTTTGATATAATACGGTTTATGTGGTTTTGAAAAAAATAATATTTTTACTTTTGAATAGATATAAATTTGAATATATCATAAAAATTTGAAAAAATATATCAATATTAATATCAAATTAAATATTTAAAAGTTTTTATTTTTTTTGTACAATTTTTTAAATTGAATTTTTTTTATTATAAGTCAAATAGTGAAGTAATTTATTTTATACTTAAATTTTTTATAAAGACTAGAAGAGTACTCGCGTAATGCAGCGAGACACATCTCGATTTTAATGTTCTATTTTATTATTTGTCTCTGTCGATGTTATAATACGAATTTATGTGTTTTTAAGAAAACAATGTTAATATCAAATCAACTATTTAAAAGTTCCTTTTTTTATGGAATTTTTTTTAATTTATTTCTTAATTTAAGTTTAATAACGAATTATAATTTAATTTAAGTTTAATAACGAAACAATTTATTTTTGGTTTAATAATATAACATTTTATAAAGATAATAATTAAGTATTTTGTTAGAACTCAATGATTATCCTAATTATATTTTAGATTTTTTATATTTAAAATGAGATGTTTAACCTGTATTTGATTATGTTTATCTGCACTTAGTTACACGAATTCAAACATGGAGCTTTAATAAGTTGTACTTACGCACAATCTATTTATATTTTTGAGTTTTAAGTAACATGCATTAATAAACATTACTTTATGCATAAAATGTCTTTTTTAAGAGTTTTTGTCAAATGCTTTATAATATAGTATAGATAATGATTTTGTTAGAATTCAATAATTATCCTAATTATATTTGGATTTTTTATATTTAAAATGAAATATTTATATTATATTTGATTAGGTTTATCTGCAGTTAGTTATACGAATTCAAAAATGGAACTTTAATAAATTGTACTTATGTATAATTTACTTATAATCTTAAATTTTAAGTAATATGCATTAATACACAATACTTCATACATAAATAATGATTTTTAAGAGTTTTTATCAAATGAGTTATAATATAGTATAGATAAGCATTGTTGAATAAACAATAAATGCTTCATTTTTCAAATTATAAAAATTAATTTTTTTTAGCTTTTTATATAATTCAATACTTCCGGATTTTTGTGTATGTATAAATTTAGGTTTTAATTGTATTTTAGTCTTAATATAGTCTTTTAAAGTGTTCTGAATGTTGGTTGGGTTGGATATCGTATTTGACAAAATAATCAATTTTTAGCTGAAAATTACACTTCTCGCACCCAAGCAGCTATTTTGCTCGTGACCACAAGCTCTTCACAAAATCTGGGCAGAAAGTTGTTGGGCCCTGCAGCCCCCTTAAAACGAGATTTTTGTCTTTTTCTTTGTTTCTTTCTTGATCTACTCATTTCTCTTTCAATCAACTTTGGTCCAAACATATTTACTTCATCAAGCCTATTTCTTCAATTTATTTTGCTCTGTGTCGAGCCTTTAGAGTTATATGTGTTTATAACATATTTATTTGAAATGCTACATGCTTTGAGTGCGTTGTTATTCATATGGGGGCATTTAAATTTAGTCTGTAATACAATGGATTCATATGTGTAGGAGTAAGTCTTTATTGATTTAAAATGGGGCGGTTGTTCCTATGTTCGTGGCCAAGAACATGCATGGGGTCCTCATGGTGCGAGCTCTTGAAGTCGAACATATGTCATTGACCCTATGGTGTATTTTCTGTGTAGATTTTAATGTAATGGTTATTCTCATATTGTAGCTAAAAATAGGCATTGGGTCATCAGGGTCAACTTGGTATGGTTTATGGGAGTTGGATACTAACCATTGGTCACATGATGTAATTTCTAGTGGATGAGTGTAACTGAGATCATCGGGGGCTTGAATTATAAATCGTGATTGGATGATCCCATGGGCCATTGATCCTCCATATGAGCTCTATAACATGGAATGGTGGCCTACTTTTATATTCCACCACTAACCATGGAAATCGGGTCTCCCTTGTCGCCGAAAAGTGTTGTTTTGTGTATTAGGTATTTTCCATTATTTATGGTTTGGATATTGAACCTTGTCTATATTTTGGGCATTTAATCTCATTCACATTCGCTTTTGTGTCAGTATTGGGCTTTAGCTTCATGATAAAGGGGTGTTTTAATGAACGAGTTTTTATCACGAAAAATGGTGGATTTGGAAAAGGATGTCGTTTTTGTACTAAATGCATTTCAATTCGGAAATTGCCATTTAAATAACGTCTCTTCAATTTTACCGTTTTTAATTTTTAAGATGAAAACTGATTGAACTTACTAGACGTTAAGCCTAACCATTTTTATTTGTCGTGATGTGCATCAGGTCCTTGTAAGGAAATGGTGCTAGCACCACTATTGTGATGTGAGAGATAGAGCACAAGAGGAATTTAGCTGTTCGGCAATGTCTTCCACATTTGGAGTTAGCAATTGTTATTGGGTTTTTAGTAGCACCCGACTTCGATTAGTCTTCACGTAAGGCTTGGTTTAGCAATTGTTGATGTTAAATCTAGATTTGATATTCGAGGTAATTCAAGTATTGGTTTACCAAAATGAATTTATCCTTTATTTGATGTATTACTGAAAATTCTAAATTAGTCGTTCTTCCAAGATTTGAGGGTGTTACATTGGGTACCCAAAACCGCTCAAATGCAATTGTACATTTTATCTTACTCTACGTCGATGGATCAATCAAATATGTGATGTTTAAGGGTAGAATGACCGATTGAAATGATGTTCGGATCCACCTCATAATTCTTAGGGGGCGTTTGGTCCGCAGATTTTGAAGAATTCTGATTGAATTGGAATGTTGAATTTCTCTGACCAAATTTCATTCCCTCGTTTAGTTCATTCTTTTTTACGAAAGGAATCTTCAAAATCCTACAAATTTTACAAATAAAGGAATTTAACATTCCTTAGCAACTACATAAGACCAAATATGCCCTTAACCCAATATGCCCTAATCTCATAAAACTCAATATGATCACCTTCGACCACCGTCGATTTGAATCACCACTAACCATCTATCTGAACCACCGCTGATCACCGCCATCTGAACCACCATGGACCAACACTGATATGAACCACTGCGGACCATCGCCATATGAACCATAACGGACCACCATCGATCTGAACCACCAGCAACTACTACTGATTTGAATTACTGTTGGCCACCACTGACCATCGTTGATTTGAACAACCACTGATCTGATCCATCGTCGATCTGAACCACCCCTGATTTGAACCACCTGAACCACATCCGATCACTGCCACCTAAAGCACCATAGACCACCACCGATTTGAACCACTTCCGACCACCGGCACTACCACCGATCTGAATCATCGTCGGATACCACCGACCACCAATGATTTGACCAACCACCGATCTGAACCACGGCCGCCACCGCTGATCTGAACCACAGTCCATCTGAACCACCGCTGACCACCTCCATCTGAACCACCGCGGACCACCATCAATCTGAACCACTGCCGGCCACCACCATCTGAACCACTGCCGACCACCACCGATCTGAACCACTGCCGACCATCATTGATTTAGCAACGTCGTTTGACTTATGGTTATATTTGGGTTGTGTATATTATATTGTTTTACATTTTAAATAATTATTTTATTAAAATATTTTTAGTTTTAAAAAAATTAAATTTTTCAAAAAAGGGTATTTTGGTTATTTACCAATATTTCATTCTAATTCCAAAGCTATATTTTATGAACCAAACAAACAGATTCCTATTTCTTAACAAATTTCATTCCAATGTCTGCCAACCAAACAGGTGGTCATACTTGACAACATTCCATTTCAATTCATTCAAAGTCAAATTCCTTTAACAGATTCCATTACATCCAAAAACATTCTGCGAACCAAACGTCACTTTAGGCTTATCAAAATGATTGAACAACGATCCTTCATGGATCACCACCTTCACTTGCATAGTAACGAGTTAAGTCAACATCATAACTCCAACTAGATCATTTTTTACCAATATGCATTTGTGTGAAATGCGTAAAGTTCCTAATTACTACACAAGACTGTTCCATATGTTGTTTTAATACGAAATTTCCCTCCATCATATGAAGCAGCTACATCTTTTACATTGAACTTTCCTTTTTGCCACTCGATAATATTGTCAAGTAGTAATTTTCTCAGAAAGGGTGATTTTTAGTTTTAACCGACAAGTATTTCAATGACAAATTCGAGTACCGAATGCCCTGTTTCAGAACCACAGGCTTGAGAACCAGAATTGTGTGACTCCATCTTGAATCAGAAGTTTGGAACATGAAAAGTTCGAACACAAAATAATATCGAAAATAAATCCAAAACCCACAATATTATCAGAAACAAAAGTATATCGACATCAATTATAGAGAGTTGAGAAATATAAGAACAAGTTGAAGTATGTGTAAAAAAACCCAACCAACTTGTTTATATATTTTATTCATGAAAGCGATAAAAAACGGTAACTCTATTAACCAATCACAGGCCAACACATAACACTTAATTAAAAAGGAAAAAGATACGTCCCTATAACCGGTGGTTTAACTGTTTTGTCTATAACCGATCTCGTAGCCAATCCCAACTCCATTCCTGTTATCCTTTTTTAAAATAAGTGTAAAAGACAAAATTTACGATTTTACCCTTTATTAGAGAGGATAAGTAGACATGAAAGATCACCCTTATTTTGGGACAAACTATACGTCATTTACCATTCGCTTAGCATAGTAGGATGTCATTTACTTTACGGGATGAGCATGGTAAGAACCAAAGAATCTTACCTGATGAGAAGCATAGCAAAGACCGAGAATCATACAGGGAAGAGTTTACTAGGTAACAAACACTTACCAACAATCGTTACACCAAAAGCAGTAATACCAAGAACATTTCAAGATGTAACCAAAAGGCCTATGTCTAACCACAAAGGTGATGTCTGATTAGTTTGAGCTTAGCTCCAAAGGTTAAAAGGACGTGGAGATCCCAGGTTCAAATCCAAGAAGGAATATAAATCCCCTTGTGGCCACGAAGGTTCAAATGCGGTGGATTGAACGAGGACAGTAAATATTTGAAGATATGTAAAACAGAAAGATAGATTGAATGAGGACAGTAAATCTTTACATGGATGTCAACTGTCAAATCTAAAGAATGTTCAAATTCATAGCTTTTCAAGCAGGCAGGGAATCAATAGTAAATTACACACACAAATTACAACAATTTTCTGGGTCAGAAACTACCAAACTTTTAAAAAATGAAAACCAACTTTCTTTCTTTCTTTTCAATTTGAAGTCCATGGCAATCAGATCTTGAACTCTCATCACCATTTCTCTTCAAAACTAACTCTGATTCCCTTCTTTACATCCCATTTTATACACCTATCTACCTTTCGCTTCCGTTCGCTTCTCTATTCCGCCTCCTCCTCCCGGACCTTCCCAGCAACACCCTCCCCTGGCGGCGCAGCCGGTTAACCAATGACATTCCACCACCACCACCACCATCATCGTCGTTACTATCACCATCATCATGTCGCCTCTCACTTCCAAAAGACCCCACATTTCCACCAGCACCAAATGCATGAAACAGAAGAAACACATTCACAAGACTGTTATCAGTTCCCCCATTGTTGTTTCGCCCCAAGGCACCCACATCAAAACCCTCCTCGTCTTCTGAATCCGACCCATATGAATTCCTTTCGATCACATAGTCACCAAAAACCACCGAGCCAGGCATGGAGGATGTGACAGTGCTGATCACGTCTTCCCGTTCTCTCTCCCGCTCAAGCCGCCGCCACTTCTGTTCCTGATCAGGGTCCACTTCCCGTGGCTTAGCCGAAGGATGCTCCGACTTAACATGTTTCTTCAACTCCTTGTATGCCCCAACAAACGAGCAGTTATCATGCATGCAGGTTCTCTTCTTACAATTCAGATATTCGCGGGCCGATTCCACCACCGTCCACCCTTTGACTTGGCCTCTGCAAAGAGGGCATGCAAGCTCTGCCACTTCTCCGTCCTTCTCAACCAACAATGGCTCCAAAACAGGGCTGTTATCCATGACAGCCAAAGATGGTGCATGATATGGGGCCGTAATTTTTGTGTAGGCTTTTTTGTACTGATCAAGGCAGTTGGAATAGCGAGAGCTGGTGCCACACATGTATGGCCGACAACCCTTGTCGTGAGAAGAACATAAGAGAAGCACGGCGTTATGAGGATGCTCCATGCACACCGAGCAGTTTATATCTTCCCAATCTTTCTTGGATTTCTTTTCATTCAGGTCTGATAAATTCTGCTTACATGTGACCAATGGATATGGGGTTGCCCTGCAGTGCCTTGAAGCCATTCTACGCCTTCCCCTGGTACCTTTCGCCATTCTTAAGATAAACCTGTTGTAAACACATAAAATTTGAGGATTGAATAAAAAAATTCATGCTACATACATACATATATAGAGAAGTGGGGGTGGGGGTTCAAGAGAGAACTTCAAAAAAAAGAATGAAAAAGGGAATCTATAGGATGTACCCTCGATGATCTGATAAACAACAGAAATTGAACGGTTACAATAGATTTCTAGGCACTTCGAGACTGCCTGATGTCTCCCAAGGCTCTCGCCCAAAACACACTAAACTGATCGATCAAACCCGAATGACCTAACCCCCATATTTATACTACCCCACTTAGTACTACTCTTGCATTAACTACTTGTACTAATGCATTAGGCACTTGTACCTTAGCCTACCATATTTGGCTATTTGACCCACTACCTAGGATATAACACCCTATCAATCGTTGGATCTACAAAATAGAAGGCCCAGATTCGAATGTAACTGCCCTTAATCGTGAATTTGGTTTTGGAGAAGATGTAACCCCCACCTTATTCATAACCGTTGGATTAGAATAGATGGATGATTACAAGAACTGAGACTATGCAAGTTTTCAAGAAAAGGTTGTTGATATTGGCCATGCCTGTTTCAGAGGCTGTGCAATGAATGACAATGAACAAACTACCACCAAAAGAATATGCAGTTGAATCAAGCACTGTTTAGAATAGCAAAAAACATCCAGTACTGATCATCCACAGAAACCTGTTCAATCATCATTTGAATCAAGAAAAAAGAAAACAAGTAACGCCCAAAGTGACAAGATTGAGTCATAAGCCAACACCCAGTAAACAATGCCACGGTTACTTTAATTAAACCCTGCCACAGTGATGACATCAATTATTCCATTGCCAATCAACACATACATGATGTTCTCTGTGCATTGAAAGTACTCACTTTGTCACGACATAAGTATCATCCTTCAGAACTGAATGCCAAATTTAGTACATTCATATTCAAAAAGTGCATGAAGTATGTTAGATGTTTAACACCAAATTTTACCATTATGCTTCATATAAAATTTTATTTATTTATCCTCCATAATTAAGTAAATTTACACCAAAACTGGAGTTGAGAGTAGCCAGTTCAACCTCCACAATCAAAAGGAGGATACCCACTTTGGATGGAAGAGTTTTCATTTTCATATATACGTTTTCAAATGGATACTTCTATTCTATCCCTGCACCTAAAAAGCAATTACACGCACAGCATAATCAAATAACCTTTTTTGATTGACAGCTCGTATTTTATTATGAACTGTGGTAAAAGACGATCAGCAAGCAATATCAAAAATGGTATGCAAATATGACATGGCACGCTGACACGGATGCCCACAGAAAATTCAGATAAATTTGAACCTCAAATCAAATGTAGTTTTAAAAAACCAAGGAAACAAGTGACCACCACTATGCAACTTTCCTCACCTGAGTTCATTTGCCAACAGAAACACTTTGATAAATTCTAATTGTCAGTTTGTCACACTAACAAAGGGATCCCAAATTTAGAAGTTGAACAAAAGATTTGTTCTTCATAAAGAACACTTGGTCCTAACAGATACCCATAACATACAAGAAAACAAGATTCCGGCCTCCATCCTACCTGACAAGGTCCAGTTTTTAGGATAAAAATGTTGCCCTGCAGGCTAAATGACAGGATAACTTTGATCTAGGAAAATTAGAATCATTGTTGCCCCCATTAACATACAAACTATACAAATCAGAATCAACAAGATACAACCACGAAAAGTAATAGCTCAGATAAAGAAAATGATCCTGCTGATGATGTTGATGAAAGAATTGAAATTATATAGATCGCCTCTAGAATGTGATCACGATCTCAGAGAGAGTTAAAATCACCAAAAGAATGAAATCTAATTAAAGTCAATGATACATCAAAATTGATCGAGAGCAGCAAACGGCCTAACCAAACATCAATCAACTTCCCAAAAATAGTCCTAACAGTACCAAAAATCCAGCTGCATACAATACTTCAATGTGACTAATATTAAGATAGGCTTATTATGACATCATCCAAACAAATATAAGAATTTGAATCTTGCCCACCTGATAGCAAATTTGTCATAATTTCAATGCAATAAATAAACATGGGTATGTTAATGTAAAAGCATTTTCATGACCAAGAAAAATCTAAGATTGTAAAATTGCATCCAGATACGGATTAACCCAACTCAAAATGCTGAATTCTACAAAAAGAAAAATCAACCATACCAATTGTAGTGCAAAGCAAATCTGGATCCGAGAGTAATTCAAGATAAGATGTATATGTTCAAACAAGAAACAAGGTCAGACTCATATAGATAGCTTAATAGGCTACACAACATGCTATATCCAAACAATCACGCGAGCGACAGTTAGAAATGAATAAATTAATACAAATTCTTCCGAAGGCATCCGTTTTTACTTATTTTAATAATGAAGTAAAGGGAAAAGCACATGCCTTTGACATCTAACCGACCCCAATCTGAGATTCGAAGTTAAAATACTTGAAAAAACATCACAATCCTCGGAAACAAATCTCAGAAGATCATGAACAGTAAACATAAAATTTACAACCAGTAGAAACAAGGAAAATCGCAGAAAAGCAAAAGAAAGACAAACTTATACCTCAAAATTGTTGGAAGGGGATGAAAGGCGATGGATTTCCTGATGGGAGAAGAGATCAAACTAGGGTTTATTACTGCAGATCGACGAAAATGAGCGTGGAGATCGATGAGAGCGCGGGCATTTCAGGAAATCAAGAGAGAGAGAGAGAGAGATAAAGAGGATCGAATTTATCGACTCGATTCCTCTATGATATTCGTTCGGAGAGAGGGAGAGAGAGAAACAGCACGTAACATAGAAGCTTGTGGTATGACACTTCCACCCGCCTCTACGGAGCGTCCAATCACGGTTCTACAAAACAAGATTATTTGGAAAAATGTAACCAATAAAATTATTATTTTATACTTTTAATATAATAAATAAAATTAAAATTACATATATATATATATATATATATATATATATATATATATAGCCAAGATCAAATGTTAACTATCATTTTTGTGTTAACCTTATTAACTGATCTTGGTCATTTAAATCTATAATCAACGGTTAAGATTAATCAATAAAAAAATTAAATTTTAAAGTTTGAATTTTAATGAGGCCTAGTGAACAATGATGAAAGGGGCATTTTGGAAAAAAAAATACTTATCAAGGGTATTCTAGTAAATTGAATTCATTTGTAACCCCCAAACAATTAATGGGGAGTTACAAACAATCAAATCCCAAAAAATATGCATTAATATTATTATTATTATTTTACTATTGATCTTCCATGTTCATTCTTGTATAAATTCCTAAATCGCATAAGAAACACGGTAGTAACAATTTTCGGTATTGATCAATTTAAACACAAATGAACCGTGAACACAATTTRAACAAAAATGAACAACCATGAACACAATTTGAACACAAATGAACCGTGAACACGATATGAACACAAATGAACACGATATGTGCAATTTTTTGCCCATATATTCACATACATAGACGTCCCACAAGATTAAGGTATCATCTGTTAATTTATTCAAATTATGTTCACGGTTCATTTGTGTTCAAATGGTGTTCACGGTTGTTCATTTGTGTTCACGGTTCATTTGTGTTCAAATTGATCAATACCGAAAATCGTTACTACCGTGTTTCTTATGCGATTTAAGAATTCATACAAGAATGAACATGGAAGATCAATAGTAAAAAAAATTAATAATATAAATGCATATTTTTTGGGATTTGATTGTTTGTAACTCTCCATTGATTGTTTGGGGGTTACAAATGAATTCAATTTACTATAATACCCTTGTAAGGGTAAAATGAACAAGACATAAACCTATAAGAATAATGAAATTTGATTGGTTGAGAGGATTTTCAAAGTTAATACAAAAATAATGGTTAACATTTGATCTTCCACACTCACACACACACACAGACACACACACACACACACACACACATATATATATATATATATATATATATATTCCTCACCCCCTCTGTACTTTTGTTTCTCTAGCTCCTCTATACAAAACAACAAAATATACCAAGGGAGTGTTTGAGATTGCTTATTTGAAATAACTTATGTTTTTTTTACAAAAGCATTTATCAACTTATTATAAGTTAGAAGAGTTTAACTTTTTTTTAAACTCCTTGTTACCGATTTGACACCGGTATAAGTTGTTTACCTAAACACTCAAAAATGTTTATTATCGATGTCACACCGTAATAAGTCAATAAATTATTTTTATAAAATCCCAAACACCCCTAAATCTAAATTATCTATTTTTTTAGTTTTAACCCTTCAATATTTTTATTTTAACACTTCAACTTTTTTAATATTTTCATATCATATCTCTTATGTTTTTAATTTTTAATATATATTATACTTATATAAATTAATTAACTTTATTATTGTTGTTAATAAATAAAATTTAAAAAATACGTATTTCTAAATTATATATTTGTATACGAATTTCTTTTTTAATATATATTTTATACCTTTATAAATATTATTAAGTTTTTTTTATTTTCTTATTTTCCTTACTTTTTCATTTTTCATTTTATACTTCTATTATATTTATATCATCACGGCTTCATAGTTAAATAAAACATATTATTATTGGACTCATTTTGAAAGTATTGACGAGACGATTATAATGACGTAACTTGTTAAAATAGAAATGTAATTTTAACGTATTTTAATTTAATATATGATGATCGGATTATGTATGTTAATATGGTAAAAGTGTAAAACGAAAAATGAAAAAGTAAGTATATAAAACAAAATAAATAAATAAATATAAAGGTATAAAGTGTGAATAATAAAAATAATTTACGTTTTTATAATTAAAGCAAAATTTGACGAGACGATTACAATGATATAACTTATTAAAAATAAAAATGTATTTTTAATGTATTTTAATTAATATATGATTATGTATCTTAATGTGATAATGGTGTACAATAAAAACTGAAAAAGTAAGATATATAAAACAAATTAAATAAATAACTATAAAGGTATAAAATGTAAGTATTAAAATAATTTACGTCGTAATAATATTTAATAATATTAGAAGAGTACTCGCGCAATGCAGCGAGACATGTCTCGATTTTAATGTTTCGTTTTATTTTTTTGGTCTCTAAGGATGTTATGATAAGGTTTTATGTGGTTTTGAGCAAGCACTAATGTTTTTTTTTAATAAAATACAAAATTGAAGATATAGGAAAAATTAAAGAAAATTAAAAGTTCTCAGGTTTCTGTGTAATTTCTTTAATTCAAATTATTATTATAATTTAATTTAGATTTAACAATAAAGTACACGAATTCAAACATGGAGCTTAATAAGTTGTACTTACGCACAATTTACTTGTAACCTTGAATTTTTAAGTAATGTGCATTAATAAGCAGTATGTTGGTCCCAAATGGTCTACAAGAATACTAAACAGTTTGTAGAAAGGGGGGGGATGAATACAAACACAATTTTCAAATTTAAAATATATATTGATAAAGAAGATCAATACAGATTTTACAAGATTGTCTGCGGAAAGATAAG